CCTGTGGGAAGTTAAGAGTAATTTCGAGGCTAATTACACCCAAGTTCACCTCCAGCTATTTTATTAATGTTACTACTTGAACAGCAATCGGCGTATAACTGAAACGAGTAAGTGGCAGGGTGTACTCTTGTGTTTCGTTGTTGCCAAGGCCACAAGGAAATAAACTGCGCATCTTTGTATCGTGAACGTTTTCCTGGATTTATTTTATACACTTTCGATTCCGTCACAAATGTAACTTTATTTACAATTACTCCGTTACTTAAAAATTGAAAGTTAAAATAAAAAAATGCTACATGTTTTCGACCGTACTCGGCCATCCTGAGACACGTGTCCAACTTGTCAAAATTGCTACACTATATTTTCAGTTTAATTAAGATGAATTATTTCCTAATTTAAAATATTTTGGTCTTTCCCATTCATCTTAATTACACTGCAAATACAGTGAAACGATTTTGAAAACTTTGACAGTTGCCTGAGAATGGCCGAGTACAGCCTAAACATGCAGCAAGTTTTAATTTTTATTTTTCAGTAAAGGATTAATTGTAAATAAAGTTGCATCTAAGGCGGAAGTGAAAGTGTATAAGTGATACATTAATGCAAAGGATGCTGAAATACAATTTTCTGGGTTTATTTACCTCACTCAAGTCCATAGATAAGGATCAGTTTGGAAAAGGCAACACTCGCTCATCTAGTTATGAAATTTCCGGCATTTTAGGCAACCCGGAAGTTCGTTACCAGCTCTGGTGGCTATCATGACCATATTAATCCAGTCCACACCCTCTAAAACCCATTTTTAATAATATCCTGCATCTACGTGTAAGTGTTCCAAATGATCTCCTTCCTTTAGTTTTCCGACCAAAACCTATCATACCTATCATGTCAATTTACTGGCTTTAACGATCAGGTTGCTTCTTGAGAAACAGACAGTGAGAGGAAATCTCTGCCTTCAAGGGACACAGTTTCGTTACCATGTTCACAAGGGACCATTGGACTCTACCCTACCCTATGCCACATGAATTCAGTCAACATTCTCATAACCTAGATCATTAAGAAACGCCTGAACATTTTCATCTCCTCTCCGTCTGCGTCTCCCTAGTCCTCTCTTCCTTTCCGTTTTCTGACCAAATTTTGTCCTCGTTTCCGATCGTCCCTCGCGTTACCCTGAGTTTAGTTGGTCCCTGAGATTGGAGAAATTCGGTCCCAGCATACAGTATATATGCACACGGACTACATACACGGAGTGGACAAAATAATGGAAACATTGGAAACTGAGCAATAGAATTTGTGTTGGCTACATTGCAAGAACCTCAATTGGCAACAATGAATGTTCTTCTTCCGTTTGTTTAAACTATGTAGCATTCGTGTAAGTATATTAGTGATTGTACTGAGTGACAGTCCGAGTGAAAATGGGACAGATCGTTGTTGAGCGTTTAGCTGGAGAATCTGTGATAAAAATTGGCATATTATTATGTATATCGAGAGCGACAGTTTCTGAGGTTATGTCGGCATACAAGAACCATGAGAAGACACCATCAGCGAAGAGGAACAGTTGGCGAAAATCAACACTGACAGAAAGAGATCGTCGTACATTGAGGATTGTTTCGAAAAATCACAGAACTACTGGAGCAGAACTGAATATTCGTCCTGATGATCCTGCTTCCACAAAAACTGTCAGACGTGAGCCTCACAAATCGAACATCCACGGTAGGGCTGTAATTACTAAACCTTTCATTACTGGAAGTAATGCTCAGATGCGTAAACGATGGTGTCACGAGCATAAAACCTGGGCATCAACCAACTGGAAACGCGAGCGTGTTGTGTCAGATGAAACGTCTTTCACGCAGTTCCCTACATCAGGAAGAGTTCACATTTGGAGAACACCCAAGGTATGCCGGGTTCCAACAGTGAAACCCGGGGGAAGATCTGTGACGCTTTGGGCAGCAACATCATGGTACAGTGTTCTGATGGTCCCATTACTACCCTTCATGGCCGCATTGCTGCAAGGGAGTATGTGGACAGGTTGCGTAAGCAGGTGCATCCCAGGGTCCGGACGTTATTTCCGAACAACAGTACATATTTCCAAGACGATAAAGCCCCATTCATACAGCTGACACTGTTCAGTCATGGTTTGAAGAGCATGAAGATAAACTTCAACATCTTCCCTGGCCAGCACAATCACCAGATCTGAACATCACTGAACCACTCAGGTCAGTTTTGGAGACTCGAGTGAGGAACAGATTCCTACCTCCAGCTTCTCTACAGCAACTTGAAGATGTTCTTCAAGAAGAGTGGTACAAAATTCCGCTAGAGACTGTTCAAAATTTGCACGAGTCCATTCCAAGAACTGCGGCTCTATTGAAAGAAAAATGTGGTCCAACAGCATACGTGTATGTGTACAGTATCTGTAGTGTTTCCATTAGTTTGTCCAACGCCTGTATAATCGTAGGGCCTACTGAGGATTTCGTATCAAATTAAAACTTATGGTGAATTTTAATGCAGATATTACGAATCTGGTCAGCGATTAGGACTTCGGACACAAATATTTAATATTACAACTCTTCCCCAAAAACCAGAGAATCAAATATACGTATGATTGAAGATGCTAGACCTCTGAATTTGGCCTGAGTATGAAACGGAAAAGAAAGTGTTGCCGAAAAAACGTCAGTGTGCATTATTGGTGAAATCTTCAGATTTGCCATTATCCCGTTAAGCCTAGCAGTGCTGTGATTACATACATGCGCCGTCCTTATGGGTCTGCTGTATCGTCACTTAGGGGCTTATGAACCCAAATTACTACAAGACACCATGAAGTAAAATGATGCGCCTTGTACAGAATGCAAAATTACTAAGGATTAATTGAACGGAGATTCACAATAGGGCATTACTGGTCGCTATGCAAAAGTCATTTACATCCATCTCACTAAAGAAACGGAGAAACTGCATTCTCAGGAATCCTGTCTTCTCTTCTTTCCACCCATATGCTTCAGTCACCAAATCTCCCCCAAAATATATTACCCGTACATGACCAGTCACACAATTCGGTCTGGATATACCGACTTTTTGCCTCTTCAATTGAGAAACGTGACCCAAAACTTAATCAGTGCAATGTAACAAGTCGGAGAAGGAGTGAGAAGGAGAAAGGTAGCAGGCGCGGTGCACTGGCGGCAGCCACCTTCATTTAGAGCTTCTGAATACAGAACCGTATCGAAATGCTAAAAATTACGGAAATAAACCCGAAGAGTCAGCACGTCCCTCAAAATGTCGACACGGATCTTTATACAGAAGGCGCTGATTCTGTAGAGTTCTCGGAAAAAGAAACCGCAGTGACATTGACATTTGCTGGCGAGGTCGTGTTAATGAAGTCTATGTGACAACAATATCTACGAGTAATGAGGTTAAATCGAATATCCAATTACTTGGATACTTGATAGATAAGATTAAGTTAATAACAAGAAAAGAGAATGTACTCCAAATTGGTTCTCTAATCTTGCCTCCTGTTGCTCACGAAAATGTCACTATGTTAGTGGGCATAAGTGTTTCGGCGCCAACCTACATGATTATACCCGACACTCCCTCATCTCACCCAACACCAAGGTGCACTAATATCCGTTACTAATAATTTTAAATGCAAAAACCTCTTCTTCGTTCACTTTATTCTATAAAGGTCAGAACTGATGGGTAATATAAAGGTGTATAATTAATATTATTATGTTTCTATGGCCCTTTGTTGGACCTTGGCCGCTTTTTCAGTTTCTTGATTCTATACACAGTCGGTAGGATTCCTTGGACGAGTGATCAGCACGTCTCAAGGCCGCTACCTACACACATAACAACATAAACACAGATCCTAACCACGATCCCAGCGTTCGAGGGAGCGAAGACAGTTCATGGCTTAGACAGCGCGGCGACTGTGATCGGCAATTAATATTATTAGGTACATGATGTAATTACAGCAGTCTTACGTTCAAATTTGGGTTCCCTGAAGCCAGATGAGGAAGAGCTGAGGCTCAGTGTCTCGGTGTGGTCAAACCTCGCCTTCCATCCCTGACTATGTCTACTTAGTTTCTCCAACAGACACGAAAACAAATGAACAGTCAGTTCCCTATATCGCTGATAGAAATCCCTACATACAGTCAGATGTTTACTGTTCACTGTATTTCATTAAATAGTCACCACATTGGAAAATATTTTAATATCTCCATAAGATATACAGGTGGAGTCTGTTTTTTCTTTTTGTTGTGTATGGTAAGTCGTTTGTGAGAAAATGAGTAAAGCAGGCGTATGGTTTCACCTTCATGCAAATAATGTTGGGTCCATGTTTAACGAGTGTAAACTAAAAGTAAATTCCAGTTCACCAGACACCTCCCATGTCAGATATCAAAATCCATTATCGTTTCAGTGATGAAACATGTGGACGGACATGACAGCCCACAGTGTTTCATTTCGTGTGCTTTGGACAAAAATCACACAAAAATATATCAATTACACACATTTTCAAAAGAGCGTACAGTTCCATTTCTGATAGACCCATTCATTCACTCATTCATGCTTTCATACACCAATGGAATGTTCAGTTTATACCTTCTGAACCACAGTGTCTACGGTTCCACTAAACAAATGACACTGAACTTCGCATCTCCAATTTTGTGTTTACGATATGATTGAGTTCTCATCTGTGTCAGTAGGTGATATATTGAATCACGTAATTACTTACACAGCCAACAACTTTCAGTTCGCCTTTCATTAGATACTGACTGCCTCTGTGGTCTACTGGTGAGAGGTCCTGGGTTCGATTCCCGGCGCTACCAGATTTTCTGAGAAGTAGTGGGTCTGGAACGGGGTCCACTCGAGGATAATTGAGGAACTCTTTCAAAGATATAGCGGTTCCGGTATAGAAAACCGAGTTTAACGGCCGTGGGGATCCGTTGTGCTGACCACGCGCCACCCTCTATCCGCAAAAGTTGGCACTAACTTCGCCGACAAGCGGCGGTAGCTCGGTTGGTATAGTTCGCTTGCGATCTAAGACCACGGAGTTTGTTTTTTGTTTTTATATCAGATACTGTATTAAATCTGTACATATTTCATCTCAAAATACCACTTATGTCATATAAATCTAGAAAAATCAGATGTCATTGACATGAATGTATTTACTACACGTCAAGTTTTTAATTTTTAAAAAACTGCAATAAATAACTTCACAAAATGGAGCTGAAGCGTCAATTTAGCGTCTGCCAACAGGATGTCTTCTTTACATCTTCTGAAGAACCTCTTCTCTCAAGGCTGCAGCACCGAGATAAGCACCACATGCTCGCCTCGCACCAAAAGTTGGTTCACATGTCGCTCACACACTTCCGACTTACGCTCGGTTCGCAGAACCACAACACGCGGCTGCAGCACCGCCCTGCTAACTGCACTGGGTTCACCTGCAAGTTCACGTGTACAGTTCAGCATCACTCGTGCAGACTCGGTCACATTCAGGAGACTTACGGGCTCAATGTTGGACAAAGTAAAACAAGAAGTAATGAAGATAACTACTGCATAATATGTGGACCACGATTTGAGATATGCTGGTGGAGAATACATGTCATAATATCATATAATTCTAACATCGAGGAAGCTGTATTTAGGTCGCTGTTTTGTAAAACTTCCTTTGACACATGATACAAACCTCTGTGAGTAAGGACAGCCCGACTTGTAACCAGAGCTAGAAGTCCTATCGTCTTGTTATAGGCCTAATAATCGATGTGACGTTATGAACCAGCATGTTCACAAAGTCGGCCACTGGACTTTATCCTCAACATCTTCAATTTCTATAAGATCAATTTTAATTAATATCATGCTCCCACCAACGTCTGAGTGGTACGTCTGTGGCTCAGAATTTGGCACCCGAGGTGCAACACCTAGAATGCTGTTCAGAATTACTTTTCCTTTCGACACCATTTCCAAAAGGGATCTGGACCAAGCTTCCTTTACGTATGTACCGGAAGTAAAGCAGGACGAAGCATGTGACAGAGTATGAAGGACTTGTATGACCAGGAACAGAGTGTTACCTCTATGTAGTGACAAATGCAAGCAAGGACAAACATAGATACTGATATTTGGGGTTAATTTTTTCTGAGCCATATTGTGAATGGAACTCAACACTGAAAAAGTATCACCTTCATAACCATTCGCTTTACTTCGTATATGTTATTTATTACAGACACTCTTTCAGGAAAGGCAATTATACCGCTTTATGTTATTTTCAATGCCTGCAGGGTCGACGTGTCTGCCAACAAGGATAGTACCTACTCACTGTAAAGTGACTGCCGACTTTAAATCCAACGTAACATTAAACCAAGGACCTTGTGCCTTTTAGATACTTAATACAGTCGCTCTAATGAATCTTAATTTGCACGGAAATGAAAAATGAAAATAATCACATTTCGACTTATTACCTGTATTGTGTACTTATACAAAAGAACATTTGCGAGAAACCGTTTCGAACGCCGGAACCGATTCGAATCAACATGAGTAGATAACATTAAGAGACAATAAACGGCACATGTTTACACCTGTTTCTTTTCCGGGACAGATTTGAAGGTCTCACAGCGGTAATTGTGAAGATTATTCTTATGTGATGTGACGCCGTGCAGTCTGCTAGATCGTTACAAACGTTTCGGAGGAACATGCTGCCTGCATCTTCTGCCCTGCATATACAATAGTGGTAGTCGCAGTGTCAACTGACTCATATTGTGGCATGTAGACCCGCTGCTAGGCAACGACCGTGGAATAAGCAAATATACAATAGCCGTTGCTAGGTAGAGGCTCCGCAAACAAGCAGGTTTCCACGGCAACAATGGGAACCCAACAGACAAAGAAAGCAACAATAGCACAGCAACAAAGGGAAGGTGTTTTTTGCTGTCCGTTCGAAGATGCAATAATCAGGACAACTAGTTAGTGAGAATCAGCCCCGTACTCTTGTCAGAGAGAGCGCCCCACATCAATAAACCCGCAACTGGCAGTAATAAAAATCTGGTCGTAAGCCCCAAGTGGGTGCTTTATTCCAAGACAGACTGGCCGACTGACCTCAGTCGTAACATAAGACTCAGACTCAGTGAGAATCAGGGAAGTGAAGAGTACTTGGTTGGTGAGTCAGTTTAGTCGAGAGTTGCTGTAGCTGAGGCCAGGGATAGTTCAAGCACCCAGAGGAAGGGGAACGTCCGCCGTTGGAAGCCGTTACCAGAAGACGGGTGAAGACACAGCAGGCTGAGGGCACTTACGTATGTGCTCTAGTGAACTGTAAACTGTGTGAATTCGTGAAATAGTTATAATTATTTGCAGTCATGGATCTGTAAGGGTTGAAAACATCTAATTAAACGTAAATTTGTCCCTGTGCTTAACTAATTAAGCACTAAGCCATGAAGAGGTATGGGAGGTGGATGTACAGATCCACATTTTCTTGACCTCGGCACTAGTTTAAGGTGAGTGGTCAGCTTCACGCCCCAACCTATTTACCCTTGGGGAAAGAGTCCCCGGCCCCCATTGGATAGGAGGTTGGGTGGACCCCAGAGCCGGTCTGGACGAAGTGGAGAAGAGAAAATTCTTGGCCTACCGAGACTCGAAGTCAGACCCCTTGGTCGTCCAGTCTGTAGCCAGTCACTATACTGACTGCGCTATCCCGGGTCTCCAACAAATCTAATTACCAATCTAAAACCCGTCTGTAGTCACTATCGCGTGAAAATATGGATCAGCGTGTATCAGTGTAGGATCTGAGGTTCTCACAGCTCACATGGCTATGAACAGCTCTGTCTTCTCGGATATAACGCCGTGTAGTCCGTAAGCAAAGCAAAGCTTCTGCTTGGTGCCTGCTTCATACTACCAATGTAGAAGAAGCACGACAGCTATATCAACATTCCTGAACAAGTGTTCAGCTTCAGATATTTGTGTCGTAAAATGTCTGAAAGCTTAGAAGAATTCTAACCGTACCAGAATATTGAACAGAAAATTGTGTGTCCAAAGAGTGATAATAGGAAAGCACTCCCTCCGCAGTGAAGCCTGGGGACGTTTAAAAACATCGCACATGAAGTTCCGTCTATATATCTGCTGAAGACTTCTTAAAATATAATATTTAAAGTAGTAACAGTTTATATTGTACGAACAGAGATAGCATAGTCGGTATAGCGACTGGCTACGGGCTGGAAGACCGAGGGGTAGGAGTTCGAGTCCCGGTAGGGTCAAGAATTCTCTGTTTTCTACGTCGTCCAGACCGCCTCTGGGGTCCATCCAACCTCCTATCCAATGGGTACCGGGGACTCTTTCTCCGGTAGGTAAAGCGGCCGAGGGGTGAAGCTGACCACTCACCTCCAACTAGTGCCGAGGTCAACAAAATATGATCTATACATCCACTTCCCCATACGCCTTCATGGCGTAGTGCTTAATTAACTGAGCACAGGGACAACTTTACCTTTTTTATATAAGCCAACAGGCTCTTGTAAAGAATCATAAAGACGGAACGAACATTTTGACTCGGCTTTTCATAGTGGAAGAAGAAGAAGAAGAAGAAGAAGAAGAAGAAGAAGAAGGCGATTACATATTTAAAATATTTTCATGAAGACCTACGGGTCTAAGCTGTGCTGAAAATGTTGACAACTCTCGTTACCTCAGTTTCTTTCAGAAATCCTGCCTACTGTTACATTAATAGCTCAGCCATTCATTCATCACTGGCTCTACAGCGCTTTGTTGTGCCCTGGCCTCTTCTTCGGTTTCGTAATCATTTTTACACAGAGGGTAGGAATCTTTGGACGAGTGATCAGCCCGTCGCAAGGCCGCTGCCTACACGCAGGACAACACAAACACAAAATAGACGCACACACAAACATCCGTGCCTTGAGTGAGATTCGAACCCATGATCCCAGGTTGTCTTCGACCGCGCGGCCACCGTGATCGGCAGACTGGCTCGTCAGCTGAGGCAGGGATTCTCTGCGCGACCATATCTGGACCAGCTCAGGCGTTCACCCAGTCGCCTGTGCAGTGCACATCTCGACATCTTTCCACAGGCCGAAGCTTGAAGTCTCATGCAAGTGCATCTTCGTGACGCAGTATTTAATTAGAGGGACAGCTTTACCTCTATCAGTACAGATGGCTCGCTCCTATTACATGATCCTAGTAGCAACTGTGTGACAAAGTGAACTGCAAACACACACGGCAGCAGAAACAGCGAATATGCACAGTTAATGCTAAGACATGAAGAGCACAATAATAGCTTGCGTCCAGGAATGTACAGTGCCAGGCGGCCGGATTCGTGTGACATTGACATCGCTGGGGCGGCATGCAACCCGCGTCGCAGACCCTGACCTACTCCATGTGCTAGACAGAGAAAAACGGCCCCGGCCACGCATGTGACCTTGGAGGCGTCAGCCGTATGACACCGCTTCGACAGATGACTTCAACTTCCTGATACAGGAACAGAACAGTGGCGGCTCGTACTACTGCCACCGACGTTTCTTCACAGTAGCAGTTTTGGTATTGTCTGAATACTTAAACTTCACACCAAGCAATGACCAAGTAGCGCCACTGGAACTTGAGTGAAACTCGATTATCTTAAGCGTAGACTGAGGGTGTTTCAGAACGAAAAAGGTTTTAAAAAGCTTATTTTTTAGAGTGCACAAAAACGTTCAATCAAGGGCTATCTCGGGCACGTTTCAAAACAGCGTGCGGATTATAAGTTCCTCGTACTCTGACGTTGGAGCGATAGGCATGTTGACATGAATGGACACTTTTCCCTCATCACTAAACAAAATCCTCGCAGAAAGTAAGTCGTCAAACTCAACAGCAGAAAGAGCTCTCTCTCTCTCTCTCTCGGTCGGAATGTGTCGCTTTCTGCAACAGCTGATATTTGTACGGTTTACGTTTTAACAGTTCCCGTAAAATCTTGCAAATTGTGGAATGGGGTTTGTTCAGCTGCCGAGCATATAGTATGCGCCTGTAGTTACCTGAACTTCTGACGTAAGCCTGCCGAGCAGCGACCACTTTAACTTCCGTGCCACACGGTCTCCCAGGTAAAGGTAAAAAGGAAACAGTTGTCCCTGTGCTTAACTTATTAAGGACTACGCCATGAAGGCGTATGTGGGAGTGGGTGTATAGATCCACATTTTCGTGACCTCGGCACTAGTTGGAGGTGAGTGCTCAGATTCACGCCCCAGCCGCTTTACCCACGGGGAAAGACCCCCCAGTACCCATTGGATACGAAGTTGGGTGAACCCCAGAGCCGGTCTGGACGACATGGAGAAGGGAACATTCTTGCCCCCACCGGGACTTGAACTCCGACCCCTTGGTCGTCCAGTTCGTAGCTAATCGCTATACTGACTACGCTATCGCGGCTCTTCGGCCTCCCAAGGACTCTTTCCTTTACAGATGAAACCCGTCTGTACGGCGTCAACACGGAGTGGTGTGATTGTGATAGCGGGTCTTTACCAAAAGACGTACGAAAGCGTCGTTGCACGGATGTCGCTGATCTTGTCTCGTGATACTTCGCCCTTTCACTTTGTAACGCCATTTTCGAAAGTATGACACTCAGCGCCAATGGTGACGGAAGATGGAACCACGATCAGTACGCAGTAAAATTTGATCATAATGCCTAGTCAATCAACCACTATTCACTAATGGTAACAAGCCAAAACCCGGAATATACAAGCTGTAAAATATTGTAGAGGTACATCGACGTGAAATGCTATTATAAGTCGTTCGTAGCTTAATCGTAACGCCTTTACGATCACGTGAGGTAACGGTAAAGTTGACTCCGTACTTAACTAATTAAGCATTACTGGCTGAACGACCGAGGGGTCGGCGTTCGAGTCCCGGTAGGGTCAAGAATTTTCTCTTCTCAAAATCGTCCAGACCGGCTCTGGGGTCCACCTAACCTCCTAGCCAATGTGTACTGGGGCTCTTTCCCCGAAGGTAAAGCGGACCACTCCTCCAGCTAATGCCGAGGTCAAGAAAATGTGGATCTATATATCCACCCCCCATACGCCTTCGTGGCGTGGTGCTTAATTCGTTGAGCACAGGGACAAAGACATCTTTACCTTTTTACCTTTACAGGCGTGTGTGACTTAGCTACCAATGAAATTTGTACGTTAGTTTTACAGGGGGGAAAAAAGGCTCTTTCTCCCTATATTGCGAAACTTAAAATTGTGGAAGCATCTCTGTTTCGGCTAGAAACTCTGTGCCTCACCTTTCCGTATCGGCTATGCTAAATTCTGTCAAGTAAACGCTTCTTTTTCCTTGTCCATTCGTGGTAAACCTAACACCCATAATAATTCAATTTCAGCAGTTGATATGGTAAAGTTTAAAATCCTAAAGATAAGTGACACCGATAGATTCGTAACACCTTCAGGGCCAACCCTGCAAGTCGCATAGTACTTGGAAGGTCCCGGGTTCAAGTATCTACGTGCAAAACGACTTCTCTAACAGGTCTCAAGTGATTTTCCCATGTACGTTCCTGGAAAATGCCAGGATACAATGCATTATAATATGCCACGGCTGCTCCCTTCCTCGTATTGGCAAATTGTGTTGAGAAAGCGACGTTAAATAAACAAGACACCTCTTCAGAAGTTCGCTGGATCTGGACAGGAAAATAGTCACTGTCAATACACAACGCATCACGGCCCAGAGGCTGAAAAGATCTGCACCGGAGAACATAGTCATGCTGTCAGTTGCGTAGGTGTGTCAGGCGGAAGGTCGGCCAGTCACCCAGGAAGTGTTAGGACGGGATTCGAACCCGAAATGTTCTCACTGCTTGCGGCGACGTAATGAAGTGAAAGTGGGCGAAAGAGAACTCATCAAGCATTATCGTCTGCTAGTCCGCCACTGAACATCCCCATGCCCTTTCTACATTACATAATAAATGAAGTTTTATGTCTAAGATTGCATGGGAATATTGCGTTTCTGGATGCACACGCATACCTGTAGGTCCACGAGCCATGAAGTTTCCTATTCAATACGTTAGAGTTTCAAAATATACTCGTACATGGAGAACAATCCTTGGGCGTATAAAAAGAGAAATTCCGAATTTATTCATAGTTTGTCTAAAACAAATCCAAAGTTGTCCCTGTGCTTAACTAATTAAGCACTACGTCATGAAGGCGTGTGGGGGGAGTGGATGTATAGATTGATACTTTCTTGACCTCGGCAATAGTTGGAAGTGAGTGGTCAGCTTCACGTCCCGGCTGCTTTACTCCCGGGGAAGGAGACCCCCGTACCCATTGAATAGCAGGCTGGGTAGGCCCCAGAGCCAGTCTGGCCGACGTGAAGAAGACAAAATTATTGACCCTACTGGGACTCGAACATACGGAATAGCGCAGTCAGTGTGGCGACTGGCTACGGACTGGACGGTCGAGGGGTTGAGTTCCGGTAGGGTCAGGATTTTTCTCTTTTCGTCCAGACCGGTTCTGTGACCCACCCAGCCTCCTATCCAGTGAGTACCGGGAGCCCTTTGCCCGAGGGCAAAGCAACCAGAATGTGAAGCTGACAACTCACCTCCGACTAGTGCCGAGGTCAAGAAAATGTGGCTCTATACATCCACGCCCCCATATGTCTCCATAGCGTAGTGCTTAATTCGTTAAGTACAGGGACAACTTTACCTTTTACCATTACGTCGTTTGGTTCCTCCTCATTTCTTGCAATACTCGTTAAAAATTTGTCAGCCGATAGTCAGCACCGCTGAGAACTGCTCGAGCACTGAATGAGCCGTAATACGTGTCATCTCGCTTGAAGCATTGAGAAACAGCTGTCGAGATAGACCACTTCTGCACTATGAAAACGGTCACGGGCGACAGCAACACCAGAGATCGAGAAATGGACAGAAGTGACTGACATCGGCTTTGATTTAAACTCTTCGTAAAATATTTTTATATACGTAGTCCTAATTAAGGTTCGTAATGGATGTAAGATTAGAAGGCTGGATAGCTCAGTCGGTATATCGACGGGCTACGGGCTGAACGGCTGGGGTTCGAATTCCGGCAGGGTCAAGATTTTTCTCTTCTCCACAACGTCCAGACCAGCTCCGGGGCCCACCCAGCTCAATGGGTACCGGAAGTAAAGCAGCCGAAACGTGAAGCTGACCACATACTTCCATCTAGTGCTGAGGTCAAGAGTAGCGGAGCTATACCTCCACTCACCCATACGTCTTCATGGCACAGTGCTTAATTAATTGAGCACAGGGATAACTTTGCCTTTTCTCTGATCATTACAATTGAGGTAAGATGAAAAATAACAGGTTCTTTCCACTTGTAAATTCACCCTTTATTTCCCTGTAGCTATATTCGAAATGCGTGGAATGTTCCAAAACACTGAGTGGCACAATTTTTTTCCCTCTTCTCTTGCTCCCACGTTGGAGCATAGTGCTGATTTCTGAGTTTCATGATCATTTTTACAGAAAGCAGAAGTCCTTCGACGGGTGATCAGCTCGTCGCAAGGTCTCTACCTAAACATAGGACAACATAAACACAGAATAAACGCACACACAAAAACATCCATGCCTTGTGTGGGCTTTGAACCCATGATCCCGGCTTCCGAGCGAGCGAAGACAGTGCATGCCTGTGACCGGCAAGTGACACAATGCGTGTGTTTATATGCTGCAGTGAACACGGCCTCGTCTCCCATAATGTGTTTGGATGGTCCCAGTACAATTTGCTACCTTACCCAGGGCGGGCACCTTCCTCCTCTTCCGGCGTGTCCACACTTCACGTACATCCTCCAAAGCCAGGTTCCACTGCTTGTCGAACGCCGCCAGGAAGGCAACGCAGTAGCCGCGCATTCCGGCCATGTGCCGCGTGAGCACCTGTAATTACACATCTTGCATTAATAGCAAGGAGACGGGACGCAATCCTATTTAAATACATTACTTTTATTATAAGGTATGTTGGTATTACAGAACGGATTTCGATCAAATTTGGTTTTGGAGTTCCATAATAAATGTTGCAAAGTTAATTTAAATTTAATTCATATCGATCGAATAGGGCTAAACATTTTCCCCAGATCTTTGTTCAACGAGGCAGCAGGACTATCTGGATAACATCGCTTCAACTTTCAGTCAGGACGACAGCAAACAAGACTAAAAAGGGTGCCCAATGTAATTCAATATATAAAATTAACGTTGTTCTTTGAAATAGTTGGCAGGACATGTAGCACGAATGGGGGAAACGAGGAATGCATATAGGATATTGGTGGGAAACCCAGAAGGAAAGAGACCACTGGGAAAACCAAGGCGTAGGTGGGTGGAAAATATTAAAATGGATCTTAGAGAGATAGGATGGGATGATATGGATTGGATTGATCTGGCTCAGGATAGGGACCAGTGGAGAACTCTTGTGAACACGGTAATGAACCTTCGAGTTCCATAAAATGCCTGGAAATTCTTGAGTAGCTGCAGAATTGGCGGCTCCTCAAGAAGGGCTCAGCTCCATGAGTAATCTTTTACTGCTAGTGGGGTGAGACCAAGTCCCTTGTACTGCGGCCACTTCTGGCGTATTGTACCAGCCCCAAATGATAGGTGAGGGTGATTGTGGAGCAATTGGTGGAATGAAGATTGGCAGGGGAAACCTAAGTACTCGGAGAAAACCTGCCCCAGCACATCTTTGTCCGCCACAAATCCCACTTCACCAGACCCGGGATCGAACCCGGGCAGTCGCGGTGGGAAGCCAGCGACTAACCGCTTGAGCTATGGCGCGGCCCTGCTCCATGAGCAAGTAAGTAAGTAAGTAAGTATTGTTTGAAATACATTAAAGTTTCTTAAATATGGGGATACTGCATGTCAACCAAGTTTATGAGTGTGTTAGATGAAAAATTCCGTGTATGGCCTTATGCAAACTAAACTTTACTATAAAACAGAACTGCCCGTATCTTCCATATGAAATGTAAGGGAACCTGTGAAACAGTTCATGGCCTTATGTGACATAGCCTTTATTATGGACAAATTCAGAATCTGTCGCAGGCTCCTATATAAAGTTTTAACAATATCCGTCAAACGGCACATGTGATAAATGGAAAATTCTATTTATGGTTTGCTGTAAACCAAGCTTTATTATGAACCACAATGGCTGAGAATCGAATTTCTCAACAGCTTCTAGTAAAAGTCTCCCATACAGATTTGTAAGAAAATTTGTCCAGCGGTACATACGCTGATATTAGGCAGGTGACGAGCAGTCCACATGAAGTGTTCTTGTTTTACTTTGTAAATAATGTCCAGAAGCGCAATCAAATTTTAAACCTCAGAAGAAGGTTCTGAATAGACTACTCCATGCAGCCCAAATATGAGGACATTATTTAGTAATGGGAGACACAAAACTGTGAAGAAAGCAGTCTTCTGGGATGTGGCACCGTGTAGATGTGGTGTTAACCGACGTTTCGGTTCTCACGGTCTCTTCGCTTGCGGATTTCCTATTTTTCCTTCTACCGTGAAGATGGAGGCGATACGTTCCTCCGAAACGTCGGTTAACAGCACATCTACACGGTGCCACATCCCAGAAGACTGATTTCTTCATAGTCACCGCCGTGAAAACCTCAAATCTTACATAAAACTGAGAGTTCATAATCACTCGTATCACCATTAGCTTATAAACGAAATGTGCGACGGCGAACACAAAGAACGATTTTACGTTCAGCATAGACGCCATATGAAGCGGTTGTGTATATGCGTTGCATTCAGGATGTCCTTGGTTCGAATCCCAAGGCCGGCAAGTTTCCGTAAGTGCCACCTTGCCTCCTACTCAACCTCGAGTCTGATAACATCGGTCTTTACAGGCACAATTTTCAATTAAGTTAAGCGGCTCTGGGTTTAAATGTTGATTTTCTTTTGCTTCCTTAGTGATGCTACAGATTAACTGACGCCCTACGTGTTTTTATATATGTCTGATGTTATAATGTGTACGTGCACTCGCGGGATAGATCGTGGCCTGTTTTAAATCCAAATTACTGTATGTGATCAAGGTAAATAAAATACACAAAAATAAAAAATTACCCAAATTTCAAATACTGTAGGAAGTATATTGCGGCACATAGACCTGTTGCTGGGCAACGACCAAGAGATAAGCAAATATACAACAACCGTTACCAAGTAACGGCTCCGAAAACAAGTGTCTTTTCACGGTAACAATTGGATATAGCAACAGGAACGCTATTTTCTCTGCGGTCCGTGCCGAGATCTTATAAGCAGGACAGTTTGTGAAGTTGAGTCGACGTCCTCGTTACGTGGAGGCGGGTTCGAATAACTCCACAATAGCTCTGAGAGTCGTAGGAGGCGATAAAAAGGGGATCCAGTGTCTGGGGGTATAACTGGGCCATCCTCTTCCTGAGGGATATACATAAGGAGGACTGGCCCTAAAGGTTTGGGGAGTCCTCGAATGTGACAGTGTAACACAATGAGACTGTCGTAGTTATTTATAGTTACGTTCTGTGAGTGTTCAGTAAATCCGATTACCAATCCAGACTCCGTCTTGAATCCCGTGAAAATATACACGCCAAGTTTCATAAAGACTTGTTTAGACATTCAAAAGTTAATAGGGGAGACCCACAGAAACACAGACAGTATGGAGATTGCATAAGCCTACTTACATTTCTTCAAATGAAGGAGAGTAGGCTAAAAAGGCAAAAGTCCCTGTGCTTAAGTAATTAAGCACGATGCCATGAAGACATGGGGGAGTGGAGGTATAGCTCCACCACTCCTGACCTCAGCACTAGATGGAGGTGAGCGGTCAACTTTAACCCAGGTAGACATTGAATAGGAGACTCAGTGGACTCCAGAGTCGGTCTGGACGTTGTGAAAAAGAGAAAAATCTTGCTCCTATAGGGAATCGAACCCCGACCGTCCAGACCGTAGCCCGTCGCTATACCGACTCCCAGTCATGATCTCGTACATAGAAAAATAGAACAGTAAGAAAAAGTCTGCTTATTAGAGGCTGTATTTTTTGCCTGAAATATTTCTTGATCTGCTCCGCAAACTTTTAGTCGGAAGGTAAGACACAACTTGGAAAATCTGGACGTAGATAGAAGATAATATTAAAATGGATCTTAAAAAAGTAAAGTGCAAGTGTGTGGGTGAGTTTGTCTAGCTCAGGTTAAGGCCCTGTGCTGGGCTCTTGTGAATACCGTAATTAACCTTCTGATTGCACCAAGCGGAGAATTTCTTGTCCAGCTGAACATGAAGGACTCTCTGGTCTGTTAGCCAATATTTATCGAAGTTTTATCTAAGAATATGTTTAGATTTCTACGTAGTTCATCTGAAGTGCTGTGTTCTTCAACGTGCATCGAAATTCAGCGGCCGTAATGTGAGACATCTGCTATTCTGCTTATGGCAGTGTACAGAGTGTGATGTGTAGTTCTGGGGCATGTCGAGGGCCATTCCGCCAGAAGGGGCAACAGGAAACTGCAGTCAGCACTGTACAAATTAACGATGCATAACTAACGGCATTTCTATTGAAGAGCTGACGATTTTAAGTTCCCAGAAACTAGCCCCTTGTTATCACCCACTCTGCCCTTTCATTCCTTTCTTCATTTTTTCGATCTGTTTTCTTTATTTCCTTCCTTTTTTATTCTCTCCTACTTTTTTCCAGTCTGTTTTCTTTGTTTCCCAAATGTAGTCTCGCTCATCCCGAGAACCGTACCTGACAATACATCACTTCCTGTCACCCTATGCTCTTTGAATATTCATGACATCCCATTACTAAGGGTCGATAAGGTAACGGTACCTAATTCCATGATATGCCTTCCTTGAAAAGTTCATAGTTACTCAGCCGGTGAGGCCGCGCCATAGCTCAAGCGGTTAGTCGCTGGCTTGCCACCGCGGCGGCCCGGGTTCGATCCCGGGTCTGGTCAAGTGGGATTTGTGGTAGACAAAGTGGCGCTGGGGCAGGTTTTCTCCGAGTACTTCGGTTTCCCTTGCCAATCTTCATTCCACCAATTGCTCCACAATCACCCTCACCTATCATCTGGGGCTGATACATTTGGCCAGAAGTGGCCGCAGTACAAGGGACTTAGTCCCACCCCAATAGAAATAAAAAAAACACTCAGCCGGTAAAGAACTTCATTCGTTGCTTTGAAATCCGAAGGTTCACTGCCGTGTTCACGACAAACCGCCACTGGACCCTCATTTAAATCCATTTCACACCCTTACACCATAATTCTCGAAGATACATTCTGCTATTATATTTCCATCTCCCCTAGTTCACCAAGTGATTTCTTGTGGTTTCCATGCGAAACCCTTATATGCACTAATCATTTCCTCTGCGCATGAATGCTGTCTAGACTACCCCATCCTCCCCCCCTTAAACTGCCTTGCAATATTCGGTGAAGCTTACGAAGTTCCCCGTTAAACAACTTTCTCCTTCCTTCTCGATCTGCCTCTTTTTCCGCAGAATTCAGATCTCAATGACCCTCAATCTTTATGTTTCTCCCTTAGGGTGACAAATTGTCAAATTCATACAAGGCAACAGACAAAAATTGTTTTATATAGGCATAGTTGAGTGCTTAATGTTTGAGGTTTAAGTCATAGCACATGGGAATTTACACTGTGGTTTCCTAGCCCATGACTACCTATTAAAGTACACGGTGTCATAACCAAGAAGAATACGGTATGAATCTTCACGCCATGAAAGCCATACATCTCATAGCAGACAAGGTAACTGAGTGGAGGCAACTATTACTGCTGCTACAACCACAGTAAAAAGGTAAAGTTGGCCCTTGTGCTTAACTAATTAAGTACTATGCCACGTCGGCAGTTTCACGCCCCTACCGCTTTATTTCCAGGAGCTGGGTGGCCCCAGAGCCAGTCTAGACGACGTGGAG